CCTAATAATAACACTGGTGATCTTCAAACATGACTCAACCTTTGACGGAAGCACCAAACTCTCACGAAGGTTCGAAATAGATGAACACTTCAATCTAGCAGACGACTATTATAATCTTCATGCAGTCATTGTTCGCTGTGGTTCTGGCGTTGAATCTGGCGATTCGTGAAGATTGTTTCCTGAAATATTCTCAGCTGAATGCATCGATAAGTACAAAATGTCAGTTTTCGAATTAAATCAATATTATTACCTGAATAACGAGAGATTTCAATAAGAACATTTGTTTGAAAGTACAATTATTAAAGACACAATGTTCGAATATATGAACAGTGTACGTAAATGATTAAACTCAAATTGAGACCGCAGATCCGGCACCCGACCTACTCCACGCGGCTCGATACATCACCAATAGGTGATGTCAATTTCATTGAAATTCAGTATAACATTTCCATTCGAATTAAATTATTATTGCGAATAAGTTTCGATTATGATTTTGATAATTCTGGATGTACAGATTGTTGGTTTTCAAAATGGAGTTATTTTCATGAGCTTATCTGAATCAATGAAATGTGGCAATTGGTTTTTCATATCGGTATCTTGTATCTGTTCATTGTGTTGGTGAGTTCTATTTGAATTACATATTGGGGGAGAGTTACCTAAAGAGATAACTAAACGTTTCACTAATAATTTCAGCTTATTATAATAAAACTCGAATATATTAGCTTAAATAAAATGTCGAAAGCCAACAAAATCGCAAATGAGTTTTACATTTTGAATGGTGGTAATCGGCATTCAATACAATGCCTGTCGTTCCGAACTGGTGGTGTTATCAAAAATATGCCGTTTCACTTTTTAGTGAAAACAGAACATTTTAATGTCTAATACTCTCTACGGTTACCAATCTTTCACGATATTGTCATGTGTGTCAGCTGGATTTCGGAAAAACCTCCTCTCTTGTCTCCTTACACTTGATAGAATATCCCCTATTGCAATATTAGCTCTCTTTCCCGTTAAACATGTTCAAGTATCGACTGCTGCATCATCCAGAATTGTGAAAAGAGGGTTGCTTTGTCCTTTGAAAGTTCGATGTAAAATGTGCATGCATACTATTCAGATTATTATTATGTACACTCTCCAGCCAGGCAAATTCACTTTGAGGGAGATCATGGAATATAACCCAGTTTGTGTCCATCATCAGGGGAAACCCTCTCTTTGTTTGGTGCGTACAGGGCGCGGAATGATTATTGATTTTCGTTGCTTTGTAGGGTGTATGTTCCAATGGCAGGTCAGGATTTTGAAAGAAATAAATTGTCAGGCAACCTCTCTTCTGTTTCTTGTGATTGATAGTATATTTACTTTTATGGTAGACAAAACACAAATTACAAAGTGAGTCGTCAGCTTCTAGACTAAAAGCAGTCGCGACTGCATTCTTCATTTGTGTTCCCGTGAACAATAATACCAATTTCAAACTCAGCTTTTTCATAATCTTATCTGAACTTTCATATTTTCGAAAAGGAAGTCCGCTTCCGATATATACCCTAGTGATAATGCTGGCGAACTAATGGATAATGGGTGTGACACGATTCTGTTTTTTATCACCACAGACAAATCCTTTTATCGTCTACAACTTGGAATTTGTTGTGCCACCGTATTATCGGGTTGAATGCGTTTTCGTAGTTTCGATTTCACCTGAGGCCTAATGGATTAGACCACTTGAAATGATTCGTTATCAACATTTTTCAAGAACACTGGTGCCTGTGAAAAACGGATTGAAATAAATGACCATTAAATTTTTGTGTGTATAGTATGCCTTAGAGAGATGCCATGAAAATTTAATTATTTGTTAATAAAAAACCGGGATGAGATAAAAAATTAATAAGTGCCAATAAAAACATAAAAAAAAGGATTACCCGTGTGAAACCATCATTTGGGATACCTACACAATTACCCAGAAATCAGTTTCCTTTTTTTAATTCGACACGAAATATTTTTGAAATAGATACATGTAGTTTATTGAAAAATGCTACAGAACGTAATAAATAAACGAGTAAATCATAACCACAAGCTCATCAGGAATTTCTCATGAGACCAGTACTATTATAATATACCCTATAAATAATATACATATGAGTATATTGCTACCTCGAAAACGGTAAAACGTACAAGCTCGTTTAGTAGATTAAACAAAAGTTTTCTATTATGGCGAAATAGAATAATCTCTTTTGAGATCGAGAATATCAGTAGTTGTTTTTGAAATATTTACCGAAAACTAGAATTGTCGAATTTCGTTTTTTGGCTCTATACCGCCTCCATCCCGAATGATATATGAACAGGCAAAGATACTTTCAATACTGTTTCATATTTGGCATACTCTGATATAAACCCATTTGCAATGCGACATTTCATTCATCATATTTCATCATAAACTTTATTTTTTCAAATACGGACCTCTGGTGTTTTTTCATCGATTTTTGTATCCACTGTGCTAACAAATTTAACTATGTATTACAATACATATGTTTTCCGACGTTTGTCTCCGGAAAAACATCATCAATGTGTAGTTTCAAAATGATGGAAACCAATATCATAGAACTCAAAGGTATATCAACTCCATATACAGCAAGCGCCAAGCGCCAGCTCTTGTAAGATATACAAATGCTCTGTACAAAGGCGTATCATTACTTTTCCTCCAATGCTGCTGGCATTTGACATAGTCTCAATAATTTGTGTTGATTCTGAAAAAATGTCATCGCCTAACAAAAATCCAGTCCATCAATAGTCAGGCACATGAAATAATTTTTAAAGTGTTCATTTATTTTCAAAGTGTTAAATGTGAGTTGGATACGTTATTAAATGTGAAAAATAAAACGACTTTCATAGGAGAAGGACAGAAAATAATAGAAAAAAATTAATAGAGAAAATTGACATAAGAGCATTGAGTATCAAGTATTCACAAAAAAAATTTTTTTGTAGCCAACAGCGACCAATTGTGTTTCTTGATGAAACATACCTTCATAGTTGACATACATATTCCATCAGGAAGGCTGACATGGTGAAGTGGCTGCACGAAAAAAGCATGATGTTCACCCTTAAGATGCATAAACCCGAATTATACGAGTTGATCAAAGTAAATAAGTAGCATCATCATAGTAAAAATTCGACGAGGTTTTATTTGAACACGGACATAACGTTTTGCGACTTCCACCCTACCATCCGGATTTGAATACCATTGAACTCATATGAGCTACTGTCAAAAACAACGTGTCCCAAAAGAATGCAACTTTCGAATTGGAAGATGTAAGGAGACGGGCGGAGCACGTGTTTGATCAAATCACTTCCGAGCAATGACAAAAGCGTTGCCGACATGTAGTAGATATAGAGAGGAAACATTGGGAAAATGAAACATTCACAGTGTATCAGTAAAAAAATTATGATTTATACTATGTGATCCCCCAGACATGGCTGCTTGTACAGAGTCGCACTAAGGAACGACCGTTTTTTATATAATATGCGACTGGATATAGGAGTATAGGGACACAAATTAGCAGTTGTTTCAGCTGTATCAGTAATTGATATTTTAATAATTTCAAACTGTAAAATACCATGTATATATACCTACACAACACAGACGTTAAAACGTAACTGACCACTCCGACACTATAACAATGAATTCCGCCAGCCGATTGCAGTTAAATCTGATTTCCCAGCGTAAACAGGCTTGTTTATGTTACCCAATAGATGCAAATATGCGTGGGGTTCATGCTTTGATCACGCATCTATCTTTGTTTGTTGGATGGATACTGTTTAGTGTCTCTGAAGGATGAAGCGGACAAACTTTTTGAAACCAATCAAAACAAAGCAAACTGCAGATGTTTTCAAAAAATGTTTCTTTGAAGGCACGCTTTCATCAATATACAAATAAATAATCTATTTTTTTCGGAGGCTTTAGTCCCACCAATATTACAAGCATATCCATCAAAAATAACTATTATTTATATTGACGTTAGTGCTATAGTTTTTATGTAAAAATGTACTAAATCAAAGCTATTTTCAAGGATTTTTGGCCATGATTTGTTGGTTTTTATTCATGGAATGTCAGGAATGATACCCTGCAGATCACGGCCAATAAACCCGAAATATAGCTTTGACAGTTACATATGTGAAAAATAAAAACTCTTTGATCATGTAATTGTTCAAGAAATATGAATAATTTTGTATCCGCTTCAAAAGGTTTCTGATTTTGAATAATATAAAAAAAAAAAACAAAAACGCGAAAATGAAACCATTAAAGTCGGAGCTGTTTCTGAGAAAACTTTGTTGATTCGACGACTTGAAAACGTTTTTCAACTTTTTCAGTCTCCTTCTTTGACTTGATTTATTCTTAGTTTTCGTCACATTTCTTATCTTTGCTAGATCTTCCCCACTTTTTCCATAATCTCGAGATAGTGAGTAATGATTTTCTTTCAGTTATAACCTTTAGCTTCAACTCTTCCCAGATTTCCCGTTTTATTCTGATTTTTGTTTCGTTCTCACTTGGCTCATATGTTAAATTCATCATATATTTCTGCCTCCGATGAAATTGCAGTTGAATCAAGTTTATAACGTTAGATGTCCATTTCTCATAAGTTTGCTATTGTATCCCATAGGTATATACTTTAAAGTTTCTTTAAAATATATATAAATCATACCCCACTTCACAACTTTTTTCGCCATTGTTAATATGTATTTCTGTGAAGTATTCAACTCTAATTTGAGGATGATATAATTAATAAAACTTAAGAGTGTAGTTTCTATTTCAACGTTGAAGTAATATAAAACAGTCCCTAGCTTATTGAGCGTTCTGCAGCGTTGCCACATTTATTTTGGCGAATCTACTTTTATTTTTGCTTGAATCTACTAAAATCTACTAAATATTTTTTCAAAAATACCAAAAATCTACTTTTCAAAAAAAGCTTAAAATAAGAACGGATTTGGAGGTTGGGGATTAATGAAATGGTTAATTGGTTTAATTATTTATTTATTTATTGACTAAACCTAAACATATAAATTTCAAAACGAGCACAACAAAGAAAACGGAACTGACTCTCATCTTATTTTTTAAACAAACATTTTGTTCTTAAAACCAGAAATAAAAGAATTAAATTTCGTCATCTTTATACTTCAGATTTTTATATAAAGTTTTATCGTCCATTAACTTTATCATTCTTACATCGGGTTGAAAATTTGGGCAAGACCCAACATCTCTCAGACCCTCTTTGGCATGAATTAACGCAGAAACGTTTTTGTTATGAAATTTGTTTCGATCGTCGGTTTTGATTCGATTGAATTCGGAGAAAATCCTTTCACATTTTACATTCGACACAGGCAAAGAAAGCATTTGTTTTGCGAATTTGGAAATATTTTCGTATTTAAGTTTATTATTGTTGTCCTTTAAACAGCTTATTTTATGCCAAAATTCTTCAACATTGAAGGAATTATTTATATTGCTGCTACCGCTAGAAAGCAAGTTAGATACATCTAAATCTAGTTTCATTTCCCTGTATTCATTATCAATGTCTTGAATAACTTCTTCTGGTACTATATTCGGAAACTTTGAAAGAAGATTTATGAGACTAGAAAACTCTTGGTATACAACTACCTGAGGATCTAAAAATTGTAGTTCTTTAAACAATTCTTTATCTAAGGGCAATCTAGATTTTAATTGATTACTCAAATTAATAAAAAAAAGCTGACATCGTTTAAAAAAGTCATGAGCAATTGTTTGATTTCCCTGTATTTTATACAGATTTTTTGCAACATTCACTCCTAAGTACATCTCGTTAAGAGGTAAGTAGTGCATTGAGGCATCAGGATCCAAATCAGAGAGATTAGTAGCCTTAACATAAGTACTTTTCATAAAGCAACTTAAAATTGACCTAAAGAAACTCGACATGTCTTTAAAAAATGTGTGAGTAACTGGATAGTCTCCTTGAAAAATGATGTTAAATTTATTAACTATAGGTAAAACAAAATCAAGAAAATAGAAATAGAGTAAAATTAAATTATCATTAAATGAATTATATAAAAACTCACAAGAAACATTTTGCTGTTTGTCTGTCAAGTATTGCCCTTGGAAAAACAGTTTCAAGGGTATCCATTACTCTAGAATTCTATTTACACAATTGTGTAAAGATAGCCACCTTATGTCATAGTGTCTTAAAATTTTATGTTTTTCTGAAGCAGTAAATTCTTGAAATTCTTGAAATTCTCTTTGGCGCTTGCTACTCTGGGAAAAGTAATTATAGACATCTTTAACAAGCTGTTCTAATGATCGTGGAAGAACTTTACAAGCATGGCTTACAGCTAATGCTACCGAATGGCAAACGCATTTAACAAATATGCAGTTGGGATTTATTTCACGTATTTTAGCAACAATGCCATTGTTATCTCCAAACATGACATTTGTGGTGTCAGCTGCAAAACCCAATAGTTGATTTTTCATGTTAAGTCCTTTTTCTTCTAAGGCACTGTTAAGTGCATTAAAAAGGTCTAGGGCAGACTCTCCTTGTATATCTACTGTACACAAAAATCTGGTCTTCACACAGGCATTTCTCTCTGAATAAAACTTAATTGCGATGGCAAGAACCTTTTTTGTACTTACGTCGGTACTCTCATCAATGATTACTGAAAAAGTTGAAAGTCCCGACTTCAAATCTTGTATTAATTTTTCTTCAAAGTGTCCTCCTAAAACATTATAGGCTATTGCAGATGATTTTGTTCTTTTACAGGAAAATTTTCTTGCAATCTCTGAGTCAGGAAAAGCATCTTTGATGACATCGCTTAGATGATCCATCACATGAAATGGTACATTATGCTCCACAAGCACAGACACTATTTTAATTTCTGCTTTTTTCATTCCATCCGAAACTGAGCTAGTTTTCAATAATTTATCAATCTAAAAAATAAAACATTATTCTTGCTACTACATATTTTAATTAGACATAAATAAAAACAGACAAACCTTAGAGCTTCCAGTAAATCCAATCATATTCTTCTTATGTTTCGCGGAAGTATTATGTTCTTTTAGAGAAGCCATCCTGGATAAAATTCTAACATTGCATGCTTTGCAATGGGCACTACATCCATCCTGTGCTTTACACAGCCAAGTAGAAAATAATGGGTTCTGTTCCCATTCTGTCCGATAGGATTGCTCATAAGCTCGCTTCATAATTTTCACTTTCACGAAAAAAGCAATTTTACACAGTTGTCACTTGTCGGGGAAATACAACGGTGAAACTATAAAGCATGAGGGGGAATCACCGACAAAAACGCAGGCGAAGCATCCAAATGAATAAAAATATCAAATTAGTTACACGTCTACCAACATAGAAATTAAAGTAAATGCTGGATTCAATTATTTTTTATAGTAATTATATTGTTAATGGCATTTTCACATTATTGAAAGTTATGTATTAAAATCTACCAAAATCTACTGAAGAAAATGTGCCTACTAAAATTTTCTGAAAAAGGGTGCAAATCTACCAAAAAAGTAGAAATCTACTAGATGTGGCAACGCTGGCGTTCTGTACCTAATAGCATCCCTTCCTAAAAAGTTGACACCTAGGCATATATTCATTAATAAACTTACACTATGGTTCAATTTAATATCCTTCACAAGTTCCAAAATAATTGAAAGTTCATCTGAATACCAGGGGATTTTTATATTGCTACGTCCATCGCTGGGTGTGTCTTAATGAATCAATGGTACGCTTATTTGAATTTGAACAAATGATATGCATGCAACTGAACTTTTCTCACTTTTCATTACACTTTATTATTATCGCACTCATAACCTATTTTACTGTCGCTTATAACCTTGTCGCGTGCATGAACTCCGAATTATACTGCTTTCTGAAGCAGTATAGTTTGGATCCTAAGAAAGAAATCTTTTTTTTTTTATTCAAAATTGGCCGAAGTCAGCAAACCAACGTTTAATTGTTGTTTCTGATGAAACGGAGTCCTTATAACACTAAATTGTTTTTGATCCATTGTTTTGAAAATAACAGTAAATAAGTTATGCCACTCTTAGTACAATAACTTACAAACTTATGAGTAAAATATCATGAAATTTCATTAACTTCCTTTCGAAGGTCAGTACTAACTGAAAAAGTGGTGAATGTAACAAGACTAGCGCTATCTATGTGTTAGGCCCGAGACTTTTCAGCCCATGTAGTGATCTGCTTGATTTCCAAAACCCGTAAGATTTCCTCATAAATTCTCAAAATTATTCTCGTTCATTGAAGAATCCTGACGAGAGTTGCCATAGTGACGATATGACGTCAAGAACCGGAAGTCGGATCGTTACGCTCAGAGTAATTAAAACGGTGTAAGAATATTAATCAAGAAACTGATTATCAAGAGATTTGTCGGGTTCCGTACCTCACTTCATTTCTGGTCAATAATCACTAAATATTTTTGTACTTGTCCGTATTATTATTGTTATAATCGATATTGAAGAAAGTACTGTGATTCTTATATATTTCTCTTTTGTTGCAGGTGAAGAAGTCCATAAGAAGAAAGGATTCTTCAAAAACTTCTGGAAACGATCACGGCACTATTCTTTAGAACAACAATAGTAGTTTTCCCCGTATATAGCATATTTTTTGTGTACATTTTATATACCTAACAATAATTTAATAATTCTAACCGATAGTATTACTATTTGTATGGCTAATGAAAATAACCTAAAAGCACTCAGAATCATTATAATATATTGGTCAACTGTGGAAGATTTGAATCAAGGAAACATTCTCACCGGGTTGGATTTGGGTGTCATCCTTTGCCTAGTACTGCGTAGTGCTGGATGCTGACTCATGAATAATATTTTTGGATTTCGGTCCCATGCGGATCACTTATCATGGCCATACAGTGCAATCAGTTTACAAATGAACTTACAACTCCTAGAATATGAAAAAACCTCATTTTTTTCTTTCATAGGTTTCATTGAGAAAGCTTAACGCACTTTTATAAGCCTCAAACGTCTATCAAAATATTACACAACTGCAGCAAAATGTTCTCACGTCTTTGAAATCCCTTCTACAACAAATTCTTCTATTAAACAATTATTCTATTATGTGCGTTTGAACAGAGCACGCCATATAATATGTGATGTCTTCTTGTTTGTGTTTCCGGTGGCATCGACATGGACTACTGTGGTCATTTTTCCTAATGTCATGTGTATTCTATGTTCATAACTCCTCGTGTCACTTGTGGAGCATCATGGCTCTTCACATTCTCGTTAGCCATGTAGCTTTGCAGATTCAACCCAACTTCAACTAGATATATTCTCGTGAAGAAACATTCTGGACAAAGTTGGGTTTGAACTCAGGATCTTTGGATCGTGATTTAGGTATATCACCACTGCGCCATTTTACCGCTGGATGTCTTGTTTTCTTACATTCTGTTTCCATAACTTCCTTTTCAAAGTTTCAGACTATGTTCTGTTTTTTGACATTCATATACATGGAAGCCAAATTATAGCCAATTATACCCAAATGAATTACACAGTATGGTAACAAATGAATTGGATACTGAAAATAATAATATTGAAGGATTTGATTGATTCATGAAACCATTAGGAATCAAAAGGAATAGGCAACATATTCTCCTGCCCCCCTGGGACTCTTACTATAACCTAACCTAACCCACAGCGCAAACCGTGTTTTGGACACACGCTTCTTTCTCCTCTCTTCGCATGACTCAGTATTTAGTGTGCGATCGACACATACTGTTGACAGTGAGCATATAACCTAAAACTATCACCGCTTTTGAAAGTGATTATAGAAATTTGATGAAACAAGCAGAAGATGATCCTCCGAACATTTTTCTTTACTTAACGTTGGAACTTTCAATTTTGTCGTTTGACAAATAGGAACCATCCTTCAACAAGCAATCATTCCCTTTGTATTGGGACTACAGACACCATAAACCCATCACTCTTTTTTATAAGCTACATTTCTACTGGAAATTATTTTTTCGAGAAAATACCTACTTTTTGATTTATTTCAGTATCGAATAAGGTATTGACTTTCAGGAAAAACTTTATATAACAGGAGTTGCTTACAATTAGTCAATCTATATCCAATCCCAGACTGATTTTCAATGAAACATATTTCACCCTCGAGAAGGGGTGACATTCACTCTCCAGGGTAAAAGCAACCCCCGGTACAGGGTTGACTTTGTAGTAGAGGATAAATATGACCTTTATCGACAATTTAATGATAATTGTACTGTTTGACAAAATTGAATGGGAAAAATGTCATTGACTGGATAATCAATATTTATTCGGTGAACTTCAAGTGGGATATGAAAGAATAACGCTGTAAAAAGTTTAACAAATCATTTCAAGCATTTTTAATACAAATGTATTGCAAATTTTGACTTATGTCACTCTGACAACTGAAACTGTGGATCCATATCTTATTCTTTTAAAGCAGTGGCAAACTTAAAATCCAACCCATATGAAATAACCTCATGAACCAGAAATCTTCCACCACTTGATTCGGTATGCTGGACGTGTCGTTAAAAATCACCCGGAGTTTTCACTTTTCTTCACTCTGGTCGGTTTGGGACGGACACATTGTAGATGTAGATATTACTAATTTATTACGTGTAATAAAAAATTCTAGCAAGCGCCCCTTGTATTCGTCAATTTTTGCTGATTAGGCCAGATTAAATTCGAACGAAACGTCACATGACAACTTGTCGACGATATTCGAAGTTACAGTTTGTCAGATTTTTTAATCCCTTCGACATGACTTCCAATTCATTCTGGCCTAGTTATTTTATTTTTGCTTTATAAAAATGTATAATTGTATATTAGTTTATTTATATTGAACATATTTTTGTCTGTGTGTTTTATGGTTTAATAAATTTATTTAACGATTCATTTTCGTTCAAACTTTCACCTCATCACTTTTTTTGAATTATGAAACGTCACTCACAGTTATCGCTGAACAAACATCAAAGATATCGCGGAATCATTCAGATAGGTATAAGTTAGGAAATAAAAATTATTTTTGGAATCAATGAAATCAGGCATACTCGTATATCTAAAAGTGTAAAAAGTTATAAATGCTCATTATAAACGCAAAACGATAACAGAGTGCTTAAAAAAAATTCTGATTTCGTTATGATTTATAAAAAAATACCACAGCTTTTATAGGCTGGTTCATAATACTTTAACGGTTCCACCCTATTTTTTGTGTGGCAAAGGAGTCGCAATCAAAATATTTTATGAGCGTTCGAGTCGTTTTTTTAGGTAGAGTGCCTTGCGTTTAGGTATTTAATAAAAAAAATATCGTAAAAACTAGGAACTATGTTTATTTATTCATATACAATCAATATTATTATTAAATTTCAATTCAAAATATTTCCATAATAATAAACAGGTATGGTTTTTTTAAAAGATATTAGGTATGAGCAACCATTATTGTGCGTTATCATCAGATAAATCCAATGAATCTTCATTGATTATTATGATTGAAAGTTCTACTCAAGATGCACGATAGTATGCCATGATGTAATCACTTATGTGAAATATTTTGACGAAAACATCTTGGCACTCTTGATTCTTCATAAAATAAAGTGGTTGAAACTAATTGGGCATTCCATCCACAGAGCGCTAAACGCACACCAATGTTTATATTTGCAAACGATTCTTGTTCCATCTATCAAGATGTGTACAAAGTTAGATCAATCTAAATTCTCGCGTCGAGAGATTTCGATAACACAAAAGCGAATCGGTAAAAACACCAGGGTTTTTATGCATCTTTGTTCTACAATGTTCTCAACTAAATAGTATAATTGCTACATGTCTTCTTTTTTATATGTTCAATGCATTTTCGCCATTTTTCGAAATCGATATTTTTTAAGAACTCTTTGAAGATTATTTGGACATCTTTCGTTTTAAATGTCGTGTTTCTTTTTGCAACGAAAGCCTTTACTTGAGCCCAAACGAATTCAATAGGGTTTAGTTCGCAATAAGGGGGCAGGCACAGAATAATGATATTTCTTTTCTGTCATCTTATCGACTACATGCATCAGTTGGTATTACATATTTCAAGTTGTCTGAAATGATAACTTCCTTCATCCATCACAATTACATAGTTGGTGGTATGATGTCTAATATTTGTTCAAAATATTCTTCAAGCACATCGCCGTTCATGTTAATCGCCAGAATGTTTTGACTTAAAAATCAATAAACCGCCCTTAACAAAACCATCAGCACTACCAATGAGGGTCATAATCAGTCGCTTTCCTTTTCCACTGATTCCATTAAGAAAAGAGCCATCCCCCTGATTGGAGACGTGAACATCACTTGCAACCTTGATAGTCTGAAACATCGAAGAAACGTTAGAGATTTGTCTCTCTTCTATTGATACTTTCACAGGAAGTGTTCAAAAGACTTGGCACATTTGATTACACCAAGAGTGGTACATATCAGAAATACGCGATGGATTGTGGCTGCTCATCGTTCTGAGGTTCATCTCAGTACACCTCGAACTTCACTCTTTCATCTGGACAACTGCGTTTATGTGGAATAAACTTCATGACAACGTTTTTCCAAATGGATTTAATCTTCAGTGATTCAAATCCAATGTGAATCACTACTTTCGCACAGGCTCTAAGAGCGCCTTAAGGATTTTCCTGTAGTGCTTGTGTTTTGGCTTGAAAGAAAATGTATTTGTCTTGCCACACATTTCCAATGGTATATCCTTCGTTAAGCCAAGTTTTGTCCAGATGAAAGTCTTTTTATTCTCACGTGTACCTTAAGTAACGTCTCGTCTAGTAAAAAAAATTGTAATTTTTTATTTGCTCAGGTAAGCTGTGCAGGTATGACTGTATCAAATTCCACAGGTGGACAAACTACTTCTATATCTGTGACTGATAGCGCAATAAATTACCAAAACAGGAGAAATATTTCGAAAAGAATATCAGCCATAGGCCAAACACTTGCAAAACTGATGTGAAATCAAATAGAAAATTATTTAATGGTAATAATTGTTACTGTGAATAATATAACAAAACAAGTTCATAGAATTTTTTTCATGAACTCAGTAGTTCAGCAAGTAAATGCGAATACCGAAAAATTTTACGTTTTATTCCGACCACTATATAGGAGATCTATTCAATTAGATAAAACATCACAAAGTAAAAAATTCCTGATGAGAGATCATAACAAATTTACCCCAAGTTTAAGCAAATATTAAGTTGTTTCGAAAGTTTTGTCCGTTTGGTGGTCAACAGAAGCCGACACTGATCAACAGAAGAGGTTCGATCCTGCCACACGACAAGGCACGTCCGCACGTTTCACAAATCGCCGTTCCAAAATTAAACGAATTGAGCGTCAAAGTTCTGTCCCACCCACCATACTCTTCAGACCTCTCGCCAACTAATTACCCTCGTTTCAAGAACTTCAACAACTTTCCCGTTAGGTTCGACTTCATCGAACCCAGAGCACACAATTTTTTATGCTGGCGGAATTAATCGACTTGTGTCACGTTGGCAAAAGTGCACTGATTGAAATGACACTTATCTCGATTGAATTCAATTAATATTCACTGATATATTTCAAATTAGACTCATAAAAACGGACAAAACTTATATTATACAAAGAAATCACAATTCCCAAGTATAACGAGAAAATTCAGAAAGTTAATAAAGCATCACTACCTGCCCTAATTGAATGACGGTCACGTAATTGAAAATTAATTAGCGGGGCAACCACAGGGATATAAATATGATCTCAGGGTTACTAACCCAGCTACTGAATACCAGTCTTTGTACTCCTAAAGATGCCATGACTCGATGAAACGTTGATAAGTCACTGAAAAAATTACAGAAAAACGACAAATACAAGTATAAAATGAAGTTCTTTGAAGATATAAGTGAGTGTGAAATAGAAATTAACGATGAAGAAAAAAAATTCGAACATTTTTCGTTAATGTTATTTCTGAACAACAACCACTGCAGTGTCATAGTCATCGATCTGAACAAGATCAAGGGAACAATCAAATTTAATTTTCAACGGAATTCTGTGAATATTACAGAATCTTGTGAAATTCAACGCTACTGAAATGCAGAAACAAAAAAAGAAAAAACTATCAATCTGGTGAATATTCATGATACTAGCTGTCACAATTGTCTTCGCTTTGGAAATGTATTTATTCAATTCGTTACACCTTGGACTACTCTTCTCAAATTTTTTTTGCTAGTGTTCTGTTTATATTATTTGTACTTTAGATTTGAACTGTTTTTTGTTACGTTTTATTTTTATGTATTCTACACATCAAAAAGATTAAGTATTATTATTCAGTTCATAAGTCACCACAAGGTGGTGACTACTTTTTTGCAGGCATATCAGAAGTCTTCAGTCACTTTGGTGGTGAACTTATGAACTGTGGCTGCTATGGTGGTTATTATTTTCAGTGTAGATAATGTTAATGTGTAATTTTCCAGATTTATATTTTTTGACTATTTTTGTTAGTCAAAGTGAGTATAAGTTGCTAAATATTTTTTGCCGTTTTTGTTACTAAGATAAAATATTTTTTAAAGCGGTAGACTTTTTTAATGAAGCTCACTTTTTCTATAGATATTGACTTTACATATCTATTAATTTTTCCGTTTTTCATTTCTAGACATAATATTTCTTTAGTCTGTGCATTTCATTCAATTAGTCATCGTTGCCTAATCGATCCCAACAGCATTTGTCCAAGCACTATCCTTAACGTTTGCCAAGTTATAACTGTTTGGTATGGCGGCCATCTTGTTTTTCGCCATTTTGGATTTGTTCGTAGATAACAAATAATGAATCCGCTGACTTGTGCGGTCCACCATACATTTCATTTTAGGTATTCATTTTAGCAATCCTTTTCATTTGATATCCATATTATGGGAGTGCATAATTACATGCAAATTAAATAAAACCTTGTAGCAAAAATGAAGTATGAGGGGTCATGAAAAATTCTTCATGTGCTGAATGCATTTTGAGACAATTGGGGATTTATTTCATCTACTGACTACACACAGGTGGTCTGTAGTCTACTTCATAATTTAATATTCAAATACATCTCACCAACAATAACACGACTGAACATATTTACCTGTGCCTGCAGTGTTCAGAAAACCTATGGCTTCACAAAGTGATCGCACACATACAATACCTCAGGGGATCTCTAGTGGACCAAGGGGTCAGAGACCCAGCAGAAGAACAGGACCGTAGGAGTTTATAAATAGCACTTACTCAATATATGTTTTCGATCTCAGGAATGTTTTTTTAGTTCGTTGAATGCTTCATGACATTGTTTATACATGCGATCACGATATTTTTATACTTATAGGCATAGAAGGTTCATCGACTTTTTGTAATCTTCTAGCGACAATAATCGCATGAAAAATTTACTACAGTTTTATGCAAAATAAAATAAGTTTTTCTTCTCTTAAAAGTTACCTATACATTCTTTGAATATCTTTACTGATACATTCATGGTTTTCCAATTCATCCTTCCAAATTGACATTTTTCAATCTATTGATGTGTTTATCAACAGATTTGATATTATTTATTAAATCGTAATTGCCGAATAAAAATACGTGATACATACATATTCACAGATTGATTTTTTTTGGCTTA